CTGGGATGCATTTAGCCCAAGCTCATTTACATAAGTTTTAAACAATTAAAAATATTTAAGACACACAATTCAAGTCTGCTAATCATGCCAAAAACAAAGTGAGCATTAATGATAAGAAATTGTTTATTTAAAGGGGAAAAATGGAACCACACAAATAATTATTCAGCAGGCAGATCAGGAAACTGAATGCAAAGTGATAAACTTAAACAGAACGTGTGGCACAAAATTATGGAAAGTCTTATAATTCATTTGAGTTAAAGGGCGATTCAGTTTCAGCTGACAAAAGAGAAAGTCTTGCTTCACTGAAACTGACGGACACGGATTCACTGAAAAGCAAAGTCACCTGCATGCTGCTGAGCTTGCAGCGTGCGTGAGTTCGTGTGGTAATATGTGGATATCAGATAACGTGTAACCCAAGCTGTATGCCCTCCATGTGCTTTGGACTGTTTTACACACGCTCACAAACACGCAGATCGAGTTTACTCGATCTTGCAAGCGTGTGCTTTACTGGACGCTCGCAACCAATGAAAAAATGTTAGCATCTGTGTGTTAGGACGTAACCAGAACTGTTCTCTTATTCTCAGTAGGGCAGGTCTCACACATATACACATGTACGCGCACCCCCCCCCCCCCCCCCCAAAAAAAAAAAAAAAAAAAAAAAAAACACACACCATAGTTTGGGTCCTCAATTGCCAATGTGTCCCCAAATGACTATTATGTATATTATGTATATGGGGTCTGTGAAACACCCACACTTGCCCCCACCCTCATTCGCCCCACTCTGGGCCCATGAGCAAGGCCCTTAACCCCCACCATGTGCTCCCTAAACAGGTCTCTCTTGAAAATGAGTTCTCGTGGCTCAATGAGACTACCTGGATAAATAAAGGCTAAATGAAAAAAAAAAAAAAATGTGTGCTGGTTCAAGTCCCCAAATGGAACATAAACAAACACACATGCACACACATACACACACACATACACACACAGAGAGCATGCAGTTGGGACCACCATGCAAAATTCAGCTAATCAGATCGATGAGGTGCTTGGAGGTTTTGGTCTGATTGTTGGTTTAAGTTAGACCAATAATTTTAGTATTTTAGTGTGTCTGGACATGTCAAATCTATCAATAGGATATTCTCATCAACACTGCCTTTCTTCTATAGTTCCAGTGTTAATAGATACTATAATATCAGTTTACAACGTTTGATTATTTCCTGCAGATTACTAAACGCAGGAACATTAGGTCAGTCTTTGAGAGTTTCAAGTGTAACATCCATATAAAGATAAAAGGTAAATGTTTTACTCTTTATTGTGCTAAATTATAGTTTTCATTAGTAATACTTGTTTTTTATTTGTGTTTTTTTTAATTTCTCCAAAGACTTAGGTTAGAACTTTTATCCTTGATATGGAGCTTGTAGCTGTGCAGAGTGGTGACGTACACATTATATGCTAATCAGCTTTGGGTGCTTATTTTATATAATATAAATATATACAGTGAAAACAATCCAACTGGCTCCTTATTACATGCTTTTTTTGTTTGTTTAACATCTACACTGTACATGTCACATTATGTTCTGTAAAGCATTAGCTGGTGACTGTGTTTGTGCGTGAAGTTATTTTGTGTTTTAAGGAAAGAGTGTGTGTCAGCATAACTAAATACGACCAGGTGTCACCGTTAGAGTACGCCAGAGGAATGTGCCTGGTTATGTGTGTGAGAGTGTGTATTTATGGGAGTGTGTTGTTGAGGTCCCTGTACATTATTTATGAGATTCACACCAAGCTGTCCATCTTCAGCAGTAGGAGGTCAGAGTTACCAGATGGCACACACACGTGCACGCATTTGCATATACTCTCCATCACATAGTTCACTCACACCAAAACTTTTAATTTGACTGTAATTAATCCACCAAAAGGACTTGGACTGTTACTTGTTGTTAATATTCATTATATGAAAATAGTTTAAAACTGTTCAATCCTCAAGTTTTTTGTAGTTTGCTTCCAAACAGTCACATTTCTTGTAATTTTTTTTAGATAAATCTTATATAAAACTTAAAAGACACTATCTTAAAAACTGTCTGTAGCAGTTGAATAAGAGTCTGAAAGTCATGTTTTTATTTTAAAAGGAGGAAAAACGCAGCAAAGACCTGACAAGACCTGAGAGATTTGTCATCTTTCACTTGGTCATATATCAAGTCTTTAGTAAATTTTTTTTAATCACCTTGTTGGTGCTTGAGTACTATATTATGCATCAAACTGTTATTTTCTGTACCTTTAATATATTTAACCAAAGAAATGGGTTTTGTTGCTATGAATAAAAGGGTCTAAACATCCAGTTTAAAATTTGTTCCTAGCTAAGGTGTATGTTACGTGTCTACCCAACACTGGTTAAAAATAGGGATGCACGATATTGGATTTTTGGCCAATATCCGATATACTGATATGTTAAAACTTATTTGGCCGATAACCGATACCAAATTTTTTTATACTTTCCTTTGTCAGAACATAGTCCTCTTATTTAGGCTTATTTGCTACAAAGATTGTGTAACAGCTGTAAGGGCTGGTGACATATATTCAGTAATAGCCATATGAATAGCACTTTAACTTATATTAAATCAAGTGTTAAATGTTATTTATTAGCATTAGTTACCTGCGATGCTGTCTCACTTGTGGAGGCTTGTTCCAAGTTCAGAATCAGAATAAACTTTATTGGCATTGCACCGAGATACAACGAGAATATGTACGTACAGTCGTCCGAAAGATGAGCGGAGTGCATGAAGCTGCGGCTATTAAATAGCGCGGCCCTCTTCAGAATAATATTTTGCTTAGATGCGAAAAGGAAAGAAAACATGAGGAGAGACGGTATGAAAAAAGATCTCTCACACCGTGTCCTAGACAGGGCACGATTTGAGGCATCAAAAAACCTACCATAGCAAAGCAACATAAACAGACATTATACATGTACGTACAGGCCAGTGAAGACATTGAATTTTTAAGGGAAAGTCGTAGCACAGTCCGGGGAGGGGGGGGGGGGGGGGAGTAAGAGAGACAGGGAAACACATCTGGTTTCACCAGAGGATAGAAAGAAAAAAAAAACCTGCTGCAGTGTGGGATCCTCTGCACTCTTGTGCATGAAGGACAGCCTTTTTAAGTTAAAAGTTTTTGTCTATCCATTGTGCCGTAAGACTAATCATGCTAAATGGGCTAACACGATGTCCAAATATCTGTGGTAAAACTCACCCAAGTGCTATCACTTTAGCTTCTCAATGACATTGGAAATGACATCTTGTAATATGGGTAAGGCTACGTCGGTAAAATATCTCTGATTGTGGTCGATGTAGTGAGGCTCAACATAGTCCAAAAATCAATGGAATCCTCAACAACAACAAAAAAAAACCTTCCACACTGCCAACATTTTGCCTTCTTCCTCTCTGCCATGATCAGATCAGGTAGGTGCACCTGACGTCATCACGTTGTGCTGGCGCTGCAGGCATCCTGGTCACTGGGTTGTCATACAAAAACAGCGTCTTTTATATCGGTGAGTTATTTTGACAGAATGATCGATGTCCGATATTTAACTTTAATGCTAATATCGACCGATACCATGCCTAAAATATCTTGCATCCCTAGTTAAAAACATTAGTTTTGGAGTCTTGTACACCAGAATGTGTCACAAGTCAGAATTAAGTGACTTGCCAAACTCAAACATTCCCCTGTATGTTTTCAAGTATGAGAAGAAATGAATGAATAATCAGTCGCAGATCAAAACAAGAATGAAACTGAGGCATTCAGAAAGCCTAAAGATTAATGAAGACCACTTTAAAAAATTTCAAGCAAGTCAGGTTTAGTGGAAGTAAGGTAAATAAATGTAGTCACTGCTAGACTTTACTTTTATATGAATAGTATTTTCCAGTAAAACACTAAAGGGAAGTCTTTAAAGATTAATTTTCACATTATGGAAACCCTTTGTATTGTGAAGCTGTTTTCTTATTGCTGTTGTTGAGGTTTCTCTGAAAATGTTTGATGTTGAGCTGCTGCTTAGGTTTATACAGCTTACATACATGTCTTAGTAGCTGACCCAACACATTAGTGGCTAATTATTCAGTCTGTTCAGTGATTCATAAAATAAACAAAGAGCAACTTGACACCAAACATGTTTATGAATGAATCATTGTGTTGCTTTTAATGTAATAATAATAATAATAAAAAATGTAAACGTTAGCATGCGCAAATATTAGCAAAATCATGACTTTCTGCCTCAATTAACCAACTAATGAAAATGTATTGCCTAAACTTTTTTATAGATTAAATTTATTGAAGGTGGCTCAGGAATTTTTAAATTTTAATTCTTTGAGCTTTTATTGACTTCAGCCGATGAACTAATATGTTAGATAACATTTTGTGTGCTGATTTATATGCTGTTTTAACAAAAATTAACTTGGCACATATGACAGTATGATGGGGTCAGTTTTCATTTTCAAGGTTCAAGGTTCTTTATTATCATTCACATCACATGTTTGAGTTGGAACGAAATTGTGTACTCAAGGTCCCAGTTACACCCCAAAATAGCAAAAATACAAAGTATAAAAAAAGAAATGGTATGCAATGATCTAAGATATACGCTAAACAATAATAATGTAATATAATATTGTTATTGTAATATAATATTGCAATTATCAATTAATCCATCAAAGTCCCTCTACTTTTTATATACCCATCAAAAGGTGACTGTATTATAGTATAGTCTCCATCTGTAAACTTTCTCTTGTTACTCCCATAACTTCTGTTCCAATCAAGATAAGTTAACAAAACTTGATGTACATTTGTACCACGCTAAACCGTGGTCCCGTATTGTTTTCATCCACCCCAGCTTCAAGGTCAAGGGCACAGTCAATGCCAGTGTTTATTCAAGGGCTTTGCTTGTTCCGACCATTGATTGCTGTATAATAGTTTGTTGATGGGCATATGATGATATTAATATCTTGTGTTTCTCCCTTCCACAGGTTTGTGCTGTGTGCCGGCAGGCTTTCCTTTGAAGGGAAATGATTCCGCATGAAGTACAGCGCACTCGGCCCCCCATCATCCTCTGCAACAGCAGCAGGTGTAACATTGTGATGCTCTCCCCTGCCACACTTGGCTCCCGTCTCAGGTGCTAAAGATTGCTGGACAGATTACACGGCTCTACTTCCTCTGCTCTAACTACCCCCCCATATAGTCATTTAAAAACTCTTCTTTTTTTAAAGAAAGACAATCTGCAGTTTTTGATGACCTGAGTTAAGAAAGAACATACAAGACTTTAATTATAGTTAATTAAATGTAAAATAAAGCTTTAAAATTAAAGAAGAAACGAAAGTGAAATAGAAAGTCAGGGTGAAAGTTTAAAAAAAGAAAAGGATAAGTGTTTGGACAAAACTTAAAGGAAGATAAGGAAAGTATAGTTAAAGGACAAAAGGGGAGAACAGCATGAAGTCAAACCAGGAACGCAGTAATGAATGTCTACCCCCCAAGAAGAGGGGCACGTCGAGCACGTTACCATGTGAAAATCGCTCACCTACCATAGCAGCTGTTGGTGACAGCCAGCGCGTGGAGAACATGACCTGTCCTAGTGTGGCTGGTGGGAAAGAGACCAGTACGGGTCCACACCTTAGCTCCAGTCAGTCTGACGGACCCCACTATAAGTCCCCCTCCTCCTTACCAGATTCTTCCTCACTGAGGCTAGTGTCAACGCTTCCTGCAGTGTACACATCTCCCCTGTCACAGTCCACAGTTGGAGGAACTGTCCATTACACACAGCTGCCTCCCAATATGCAGTTTATAACTTCAACCTATACTCCTCCATACACGGGCTATCTTTCCCCTCAGCTATTACCACCTCCTCCTCCACCTCCTCCACTCTCCTCCTCCTTTTCCTCAGCCACACATAGACCCTTATACACAGAGACAACATCTGGTCCCTCACAGATCTCCAAACACAATCAGCAGCGAGTGAACATGGGCCGCACCTCCATGCCTCCTCCATCTACAGACCCTGTCCCTCATCACAATCAAATGTCAACATCCCCACGGACTGCACCGTCACCACACCACCAAGGAGGCGCTCACCTTCCATCCCAGTCCATACATCCCCACTACAATTTAGGAGCTGGTATGTCCCAGCTTGTGGTGAAATATATGGATGGGCCCACCAGGAAAGAGGAAGTTGGCCCCAGACACAGGGAGCTTCTCAACGGGGAGCTGGAACGAGTCAGACGGATTGGATCGTCTTGCGAGTCTAGTCTCTCAAAGTCAGGGAGTAAATCAAGGGAGGCCATGTCACCTTTGTCTTCCTATGAGGTCCGCTCGCTAGTTACTCCATCAGACTACTCTGTTCCTGATCACTTAGGCTTGAGAACCTCTGTCATGTTGATGCCTAATAGCCATGGGGACCACCAGTTGGTACCACCTAGAACCAGCCCTGAAAAGCTGACAGCTTCTGCCCCCGCACACCTGGAGAAAGGTGGCATTGTTATGGGCAAGCCTGTCAGTCGCACAGCCTCCTCATCTCACACCACCTGTTCTTTCACATTTCCACCCCCACAAAGTGCAGAGAGTCTGAAAGCAGCTGTTGGCACATTTTCACCCCAGACTGTGATCCAGACCACCCACAACGCTACAGAGCCACTGTCAATGGGACTCCCTTCTACGACTATCTACCCACAACCTCCTATTATTGGTTACATTGCAGGGGGCAGTGGGAGCAGTTACCACACCAGCCTACAGCAACACTTACTCATTTCAGGCACCCAACCCGTCATCATCCCGGTCAGTGGTGGTGGAGTCCCCACACTGGAACCAGTAACCTCCCACATTACATCATCTACCCAAGCCTCATCTTTTCCTGGTACACTCCCACATACATACATCGCTGCCACTGCCCAAAAAGGAGAAACTCTGGACGCCCAAAGTGGCCCGATCCACATTGCTTCTTCAGGTGCAGTGGTTCAAGCCCAGCTTCATCTCCCCATTGTTCCCACTTCGCCTGGGCTGGTCACAGCCACCACTCCTCCTGTCCCCACTACTCCTTCTCTCCCGCCATACTTCATCAAGGGTTCTATCATTCAGTTGGCTGACGGGGAGCTGAAACGAGTGGAGGACCTGAAGACAGATGACTTCATTCAGAGTGCGGAGATCAGCAGTGACCTGAAAATTGATTCATCCACGGTAGTGCGGATTGAAGGGAGCCACGGCTCACCTAACTGTGCTGTTGTTCAGTTCGCCGTTGGGGAGCATCGCGCACAGGTGAGCAACAAGCTGAATTAATAAAGTGATGCCTCACATTTTTTTAAATTTGGTTCTGTAGAAAGATTATGAGCGATCATTTTATTACCTGTTTTAGCTCTTTGAATGACCTTAGTTTGGAAAAATATTTGAGATCTGCTCAGAGTGATAAGCTAATGGTTACTTCGAGCAGAGTCACGACAACATTGGATTACTGCTATAAAAAAACAACAACTCCAATCTCAAAAATTTCATAGCAGTGCATCCAAATGGTATTTTAAAACAATACCATCTTTGCCATTTCCACATTACACAGTTATCCTGTCAGACATAACATGAAGGACCTGCTGGAAGGGCTGAAGGTTGCACAAGAAGTGCTACAGCTAGTTGCTGCTGCAGCTCTTTAGAAAATAGTATACAATTATGTTCACATTTTTGATATTGAGTTGTTTAGGAAGCAATCCACTTTGGTCTTGATCCACTTCTGGTCCAGTCAGAATTAAACTTTATTTTACAAACAGAGATTTTTTTCTAATGATATTATTTATCCACAGCCTTTCCACATAACCCCACTTCAACATATGAACTGTTGCTTTAAGTAAAACTCTATGGATCCTACTTGTACATAAAAATAAATAAAAATATTTGGATACTCCTTCCATTAATTTTACATGACAACATTTAACAGGGTAAACAAGTGGGTAAATTTCACTTCAAAAATGTAATTTTTTTTCATGTTTGCAGATAAAATAAAAAAATTTATCACTCAGTTTTACAGATGTTTCATATCTTGCTTTCCCACTGGTGGCACCAAAATGCCAAAATCTACCTGAAAGAGGGAAAGCACAAATCAGTGTAGCTCTGAAGAATGTTGGATTTAAATGAAGAAACAACTTATTCATAGTTATATTTTATATATATTTGGTAACTTTAATAATATCTTTATTAAGGTTTTCATGTTCTTTCACGTGTGTTGATCTTAATGACAAGTGTTGAAAGTTGTGTTGCTCCCCTCTAAAGCACTTTATTACTGCGAATCTCACAGGACTCAGCTGTTCTCCTTCTAATTAAGTTTAATATTATGGGATGGTGACGCTGTTCCAAAAATGTTCTGATTAGGAGTTTGGATTTGACTTGTCAGAATGTTTAAATATTCTGTAGAGCCAAGAGCATAAAAGTGCTACCGTTGAATTTCTTCTGTTAGATATTTGTGTTTCAAGCACAAATCATTTCCATTCAGTTTTTTTTATAAAATATTGAAATAGCTTAAATATAACTACTTGTTGTTCAATAAAAATCAACAGTTTTGTTTTAGTTTTGACAAAGAACACACGTTATCCATTTTGAAACAAAGATAGATGAATGGAGATCTGTCACTGTCTTATAATGTTTCCTAATTTATCTGCCCTTTTATTAGTTTTGTTCGTTTAAACCCACTTGCGCACACTTATTTACCCACACTTGCATCTTTAAGCCAATTATTTTAATCTGTGTGCCCACGCTGCATATTTCTGACCATCTTTTCTGCCCAGGCTACTCTTTGAATCTCCACCTACAAAAACTGACCATCGTTCAAGGATTCGGCTATGTTTGACGTCTTTTTTACTTTTTATTTATTTTTTCTTCTATCAGCGCTGATAGCAACTTTCATTCAGTGCCCAGATAAAGTAAAAAATTATGCATTACAAGAAGAAAACTGTTGCCTGGTGTTTCTTTGAGAGGGTTCAACCTCACTGAGTAAACTTGTCATTTCATCATAACCTTTGAAGCTTCTCTGCAATTACTCACATCTATTTTACTTTAGTTGCTTCTCGTGTTTATTCTTTTTCCTGCCTGTTCTTATCGTTTCTCAAAGCTGCCTCCTCTGCCGCTGTTCAATTAATTAATTAATTTATTCAAATAATACTGCTATCTCCACCTAGTACAATACTGTACAATATTACAGTTAAAAAATGTTAAACTTTGGCTTGCTTAATGTGTCTAATTATGTTTATATTTGTCCTTTTTTATCCTGAACAATTTAGTGTCCCACGTTTTTATACTTTTTTTTTAATACTGGGCTTACATCTAGTATGTATTAAAACCACTTTTGGCAGATTTTAGTTTAAGTTTTCACCACAGATGCATACGATTGTGCTACATGACGAGCATAAATTTCAGATATTAGAATATGAGAATATTTATGTGAAAAAGTTAAAATTTTCACACTCAAAATTGTTTAAACATACTGCTTACACGTGTTTTCACTCAAGGCACTTTATGGCAATCTATCAGTAATAAGTTGTTTTGTTTTGTTTGTTCAAGACTTAAAGATGACTTTTGACTTCTTAAAGAAATGCTTCACTGTTGTTCCTGTACAATAGTATTCTAGGATGAGTTTACCGGTACTTTCATAAATTTTTACTCATTTTTACATGTTATTTCTGAATAAAATGACAACTAATATTGAGCTAAAGGCAAGCTCAGACACTGAAATGGTATGAAAATTGTTCATCCTTTAACCTGCATGCCATTTAAACCACTTAATCTCTAATGGTGCTGGAACTAGGTCTTTGTAGCTTGGGGTCAGGGAGGAGGAAACCAAACCCACTCTGGCTGCCTGATTTCTGCTGTGACTAGTTGTAAAAAAAAAAAAAGATCTCATAAATTGTATTCAGCAGATGGATGTAGTCTCTTAAACGTCACACTCAGGTTTGTAGACTTGTAATTTTAATAAATGAAGTTAGGGATTTAGTTGTCATCTTGGTCTTTTGAAAATGGAAGACATGAGAAAGGAATGGATCTGAATGGTAATAATGGTAAATTGTGAAAACATACTGGCAGTGTTGCAGTGTACTTCACCCAAACTCATTCCACTTTAAACTAATTTCTTAAAGTGCACCTTTAAAGGGGATTTGCAACAAGCAGCAAAAGTGTTTATTTTTATGTTTTTCCTGATTCGTTTTCTTCCAGGTGAGTGTGGAAGTCTTGCTGGAGTACCCCTTCTTCGTCTTTGGCCAAGGATGGTCTTCCTGCTGCCCCGACCGGACCACCCAGCTTCTGGAACTACCTTGTACCAAGCTTTCTGTGGGAGATGTTTGTATTTCACTGACACTAAAGAACCTGAAGAATGGATCTCTGAAGAAGACCCAACCACTGGAGCTAATCACCCAAACGTCTACCCTACCCCCAAGCCATTGGCACCTGAAAGCCCCCAGAGCTGTCTCAGACGCCCCCCAGAGCTGCAGTGGAGGAAACTCCAGGCACAAGGAGTGGGAGAATGGGATCAGCCAGCGGGGGAGCGGTGAAAGTGGGATTGGGAGTGGAGAGGGTTCCAGTGTGGAAAATGGAGATGTCGTGTTTGGAGACAGGGGATCTGTTTGCAAAGCTCAGGTTGGTGGCAGCACAGAAGCTGGCTCCAGTAAGCCAGGAGGCAGGAAGAGGAGATGGTCTGCTCCTGAGGGTCGAAAAGTAGAAAAATCTGAGGAAGAGCCACCTTTGACCTTGCCTAAACCTTCATTCATCCCTCACGAGGTGAAGGTCAGCATTGAGGGAAGGTCGAATAATGGCAAGTAAAGGCTAGCAGGACTGTTAAAAGCCTTGGGATTAAAAAAAAGAAACATTAGCAAATTCAAAAGAAAAAAGGAAAGCCCACAATAATGTTTCATTTGTCCTTTTTTTGTTGTTATTTTTTCTATCTTGAATACTGTACTGTAGAGGTAAACCCTACCTTACAGCGTTATCACGTTACATTATATCACATGAGCAAATTGGTGCCGTTTTGGTGATTTTTCTGCTGATGTGTGCTGAATTTTTATTGGTGGCTCCGTGGCACGCTGGCACAATGCCTGGTGGCTCTTGCTCGGTCCTCTTCCCTTCACACAACGTGGAGATTTCAAGCTGATGTAGCACTCTTAGCTTCCTGACAGTGATTTCATTCCCCGGGCACTTTGAGCGAGGCTGCCTGGACAAAAACACTTCCCTCCTAGAAAACCCCTGCCAACCTAGTGGCAGAACTTGATCTGATCCTGAGAAGGAGGAATTGTGTGTTCACATAAATCCAGGTTTTGACCTGTGAACTTGTATGTTAATCACCATCATGATGGAAGTCATCAGGTGGTGCCAGAGTGCCACACAGCAGAGAGGGAACAACAGTGGAGTCTTTTCTATCATCTGTAGCATTTTAATTTTAATAGTCTTTAACCGCTCATATTCTGTCTCACCAGGTAGTTGCTTTAAATTATTGTCAAAAACCTAAATCAGGGGTCATTTAGTCCTTTGGTTGAGCCCAGGTGGGACTTTGTAAGCGTGTAAATGTGATAACTAATACATATAAGTGCAAAACACACTGGGTTGGTGAGCATAGGAGGAAGACAGGATTGCAGACAATTCTGATTGTATTTAACGGATTTTTTTCTTTTTTTAATTCATAAAAATGTTGAGAGGAACTGAGAGAATCTGCATGTCAGCTCTGAGAGGGTCAGGATGTTTCAAATCACTTTAATACACCTGTCACATTTAACATACTGCCAACAGATCTGACTTATCTTTTTATTCACACTGTACTGTATGTTTTTAGTTTTTATTAATGTTTGGACTATGAGAGAAACTAGCAGCAGCACTTTGGAAAGCTTTTCGGAGAAGCGACAGAGCAGATGTGCCATGGAATCACAAAGCAGTGGATGAATGTGACAGGTATCAGAAAATTTAAAGTTAAGAGAGGGGAAAAATGTTGAAGAAATTATTTAGAAATGTGTTTTTATTTTCTAGTTTAGCTCTGAAAAGGATAATGTCAAGTACTGGAATGTGTTTTGGCAGTTTGGGCTCTGAAAAATGAAAACAAAAACAAAAAAAACGGCTTTTTTAACATCCCAGGAATGTTCTGTACTAAACTGAGAGCTCAAAAACACTCACAAATCATATATTTGTGATGTCAATGTGTGTATGTGTGTGTGTGTGTGGGTGTGTGTGTTTGTGTGCAATGCAGGTCTATGTCCATAAACCCATGCACATGCTTCAAAATCACATGACAGTACAGCTCATCCTTGAAGTCTACAAGGTGTACTTTACTTGTCACAACCCTTTTTCTGCAGATGCAAACACTAGAGGACTGATGGTGGGTTGATGCACAATGCTAACAAGACAGATGTACTAAAAGTGATTCGTGGTGTGTTTGTGTATGACTGGGAGTTTAGAAATGTATGTGCATTGTGTAAAGGAAAAACATATGCTTATTATATATGTCCATTTATATATATATATATATATATATATATATATATATATATA